AGGCCTGCGCCGCCAGGCATGTGGCCCTTGCCGGGCGGTGCCTGCCCTGCCATGTGTCGTGCAGCGCGTGCACCGGGGTCCGGAGCACCGAGTGCGGTGCCTGCATCGACGACCTGCTGGCCCTGCCGGCCGGGCAGACCCCGACGCGTTGCATGGCCGCCTGCCCGGCCGGGTACAATGCCTCGGCCGGCGGGTGCGCCGCCTGCCCGGAGCACTGCGCCAGCTGCCCGGCCTCCTCAGTCGCCTGCGCCCAGTGCGAGCGTGGGTGGCTGCTGTCCGGGTCGAGCTGTGTGGACAGCTGCCCGGCCGGCACCTCGACGCAGGGCAGCCTCTGCCTGACGTGCCACGGGACCTGCGCCGAGTGCTTCGGCGACAAGGCGCACCAGTGTCTGGGCTGCCGGCCGGAGGCGCCGCTGCTGGTTGGCGGCACCTGCCGTGACACCTGCCCAGGGGGGTTCTTCGAGCAGGACCAGGCATGCCAGTCATGCGGCCCGACATGTGCCTCCTGCTCGGGGCCGGGGCCGGACCGGTGCACGAGCTGCCCCGAGGACCGTGCTCTCCTGCGGGGGTCTTGCCTGCTCGACTGCCCGGATGGCTTCTTCGCTGAGGAGGGCGTCTGTCGCGAGTGCTTGGACTCCTGTGCCACATGCACCGAGGGCAGTGCCTGCACGCGGTGCAAGGGCCAGGCCCTGGTCGGGCCCGAGGGGACTTGCATGACGTCCTGTCCGGATGGCTGGCACGAGTGCTCGGGGTCGGGCAGGTGCCTGGCCTGCCCGGGCCACTGTACGACGTGCGTCTCGGCCGATGTGGCCTGCGCGGCCCTTTGCACGGCATGTGAGGAGGGGTTTGTCCTGTCGGCCGGCGCGTGCCAGGCCTCCTGCCCGAGCGGGGAGTTTGCGGCCCCGGGGTCGGGCATTTGTCAGCCCTGTGACGCTGGCTGCGGGAGCTGCTTCGGCTCGGCGGACCACTGCACGAGCTGCAACGGTGGCCTCCTGCACCCGGGCGCGGGCATCTGCGCGTCGACCTGCGCCGGGGCGTCGGCCCCGGTGGTCGGCGTCTGCCTGAGCTGCTTCGCCGGGTGCGAGCAGTGCGAGGCCGGGCCCGGCCAGTCGGAGTGCACGATCCAGGCCGATGGCCAGCTGGTCT